GACTAAAACCCTAATCGAAGACAAATCCATCTGCCTCCATCCCGCGCCGCCTTCCTCCCTTTCGTTTTACCAGAGGTGGGCTAGTGATTTCGATTTGAGCTAAGGTTCAAGGAGCTCGAACGCGTAAACCTCTGCGACAGCTTCTTTCCTCAGCGGCCTTCCAGGCTTCAGGTACAACTCAGTGTGCGCCGGAGTAGGCTTGGAATCAGGTACGGCGGAGCCCGTCTCACCGTCGACCCAGAGTATCTTTCCGTTACTGGCCACTGTGACGACACCATACACAATCCTATCGAACAGATCGCGACACCCGTTGGTGTCATTGAAGAAATTGGGCTGGCAGAGGACCCGGATATCAAAGTGCAATCTGTAGACGTTGTACGGCTGGAGATCCACCAAGAAAGAACGATTGCCGTCTTTGTCAAGTGGGCGTATCGCAGTCTCGCCGATCGACTCCTGGAACGCCGCCGCCAAGAGAGGCGTAACGACGCTGATCAAAGAAAAGGTTGTGCGGACGGGGATCGGCCTGATTCCGATGTATCGGAGCGCGATGTGGAGGTTGCCCATGGCAGGCATCAGAAGTCGCAGCTGGGAAGGACCGAGGGCGCCGTCGCCGATGGAGATCACGACAGTCTTGGAGGGCGGAAAGAAAGCCGGGATGTTGAAGTGGAGCAACTCGACGGCGACTCTGGGATTGGAGGCAGATTGATTGGTCTTCGATTAGGGTTTTAGTCAAAGGTGGGTTGATTAATTGGTGGGTCGGGTAAGTTCTTTATTTAGGGGTCGGGTCTGGTTTGGTTTGGTTAGGTTTGGTTGACATGGAGGGTTTAAATGACGTGGCAGGTCGGGTCAGTCAATTTTCGGGTTAAAACGATTAGGCGAATTCGTCAGCCACGTCATCACTTAACGGACGCCATTAACGACGTTGGACGGAAGCTAACGGAGAGTGACCATAAATGAACGATCTTGTAAAGTTAGTGACCAAAAATGGATTTAAATATTTCGAGTGACCAAACATGAACGCTTTTTGTAATGTCAATGACCAACCATGCAATTAACTCGATTTTTTTTAAACAAAAGCTCATGAACATAGCCCACAAAATCGACTATAAGATGATTAGTTGCGGATTTTAGGTTGGAGGCTACGAGAAATGACTTATGAACACAAATCTAATAAAGTTATGGGATCGGTAGACATTTTTCAACATTTTCTCTCATGCTCTATTTAAGTGAAGCATAATTATTTAATTTTAGGAAGAGTTTTTTTAAGAGAAAATATGTGTTGTTTCACCATAAGGTTAAGGTTGATACAATAAATAATACAACGAAACAGTGTACTATTTTTACGCAAGTATTACTATTTTTTTTAATCTCGCCTGAATATTATTTCTTACGTTACAATAGGGCTACTAGCATTATAATCTTTGGTGAGAATTTGGTAAAGGAAAACCGGCTCCCGGTCGAACCATATCTCATTCTCCTCCCAATGACACCTCATCTTTGTCATTTGGTGTGCTGCTTCGTTTCCCTTTCTCTCCCAAAACCTCAGTTGCGCATTTCCCCTTCCCTCCATCTGTTCCCTTATCTCCTCGCATAGAACCTCGATCTCCAGTTCGCTCTGCATTTCCCCTTTCACTTTCTGCACAATGGTTTGGCAGTCAACCTTAATTAAGATCGAGGGCTTCAAAATGCTATTGTCCCATTTGCAACCCCCAGAGAATAGCTTTGGCGATTTCCGGCGGCCACTTAATGCACGTTCGATGGATCGTCTGCATCTTGAATCCGCCACCGCTGTCTATCACCACCATACCAAGACCTTTTCCTCCTTCCCTGAGTATAGCTCCGTACACGTTGATCTTCAACCATCCCGTCGGCGGCTTCTCCCATCTGTAAGGTGTCTTAATCAACGGATTAGCTCAAGTTTTTTCTTGGCAAAATTAGAACTCCTCCAGGTAATTCTGCGATCTCAGAACCACTTCCCACTCTTCTAGTTTCTGGTTGTTGAACATGTGGTTGTTGCGTTCCTTCTAGATGTACCATAGGGACATTAGAATCTTGCATAATTCATCATCTGAGGCTTTTTCCAGCAGTTTGCATAGCCATTCTTTGCTATCTTTCCCTTCTCCTAGTTTGAAGAGGCCCTCGAGTTCACTTGGTCTCCAAACTCGTCCTGCCCAATCGCATTCTCGAGTGATATGCTCCTGAGTCTCCTTTAATCCTCAAAATGGGCATTCATCGCTAGCATCTTTGATTCTCTTAGTGAGATTAGTTCCTGTAGGGAGGATATTGCATCCCCACCGCCATACGAAAATTCTCACCTTTGAGGTAAATTCAGATGCCATAGTCTCTTCCAATCAACCGAGATGTAAGGTTCTCCTTCTGATTGGCTCTGCTTCGCCTGCCACTCCTGATAGCCTGATCTCACGGTGTACTCATGTCCTCAGCATCGGTTGTCTTTTAAGGGGTGTTTCGGCAGTGGTATTTGGAGAATTCTGTCCCTATCAATAGGGTTGAAATGAGCTTGAAGCTTGTTGCTCCTCCACGTCCTTGTATAGTTGTCAATCAATTCCGAGACCCTTGTATCCAAATTTGATCCAGCCACTGTTGATGTCAAGTTGAAATTTGGGGATGTCGGAATCCATCTTTCCCACCAAATCCTTAATACCAATTATCATGAGGTTTGATTGCTCCATATTAGCATCATTATTAGTTTGAACTTGACCACAGTAAAATGTATGCCATCACCGCACCAAATTAATTCTTGATGAATGAGGCACTAAATTCATTTACAAAATAAATTTACGTGTTTCAATTTACAAAACGCATGCCTTGACCACAGTAAAATGTATTACTACTTTTGAAAGAAAGCTAGATGTTATTTTAATACAAATTATCATAAGTTTTGATTGCTCCATATTAGCATCATTATTAGTTCGACCTTGACCACAGTAAAATGTATGCCTTCACCGCACTAAATTAATTCTTTAGATGAGTCAATAAAAAATATATCATATATTCTATATGAGACTTTACAAGGACCACAAGGCACCAATATAGATCTACTAGAAAAATGATTAGCTACAAGAGCCTTTATCATTTATGAATTGATAAAATTGTAACGTGACCAACTCAAAACAATATAGTATCATAAATCATAATCCTATTAAATTATCACTTTTCCAAAAGAGATCTATTTTATGACCTTAAAAAGTATAAAAAGATCGACTCACCCAATAAAATATATGTATTTTCTAAAAATATGAGGAAAGAGAACCGGGTGAGGTCCTTAATTAAAACTAAAAAATGATTAGTGCATGCACTTGGTTGTGGGCATATGTCCCAAGTGGGACTTAATTAATCGAATTTCAACTTAATAAAAATAGGGGCATTCCGAGAATCGAACTCGGGACCTCTCGCACCCGAAGCGAGAATCATACCACTAGACCAAATGCCCTTCTATGTCATATTTTGTCTTAACTTATTTATCATACAAATACTATACAACACTACCGCACTTGCTTTATATTATATGCATATAATTATATGTGTTGAGCATTGTCACGTAGCAATTTGTCATGTAACGGCGACCTTACATATATATATCAAAGGAAGGAAGGAAGGAAGGATTATGGTTGGGATAAAGTGGTCGGCAGTTTTCTATTCCATGCGCCAATGTGGAAAGACGATATCAGAAGTAGGATCGCATTCTGTAAATGCCCAGCCCAGTAGTAGGATTTGCCAAGTTTTATTATTTCCTAGAGAAGTTTGATAATTTCCTTGTAAGGTCATCTAACTTTTGTAGCGTATCTCCTATTAATTAGCTTATGTTTCAGCAGGTAGCTAGTAGCTACTAGCTAGGCTAGCAAATGTCCAAAATCAGTGGAGAGTGCGACAATTCCTAGTTGGAACCAAAAAAACTACCATAACGACACCGATCTTTACAACTTTTGGGGTGCTCGATTGGGTGGGGGCCTTCAAATTATATGATCAGTCACTGAACTTTGGGTGCCGCACCAAAACGAGTACCGAACTTTGATTTGCACTTCTTATCGCGTATTCACAATTGAACAATATGACAAAGAGGGTCGTGGTATGGCTTTCGCCACCGGTCGCCTTCTACGGCGGTTTGGGTTCCTGTGACCGTTTATCAAGGGTAAGTAGTATGCACACCTTATACATGTGTTATCAATTATCAAACTTATAGAATGAACTTGAAGTTTGGAGTAATTAATAAAATCACTACCTTATGTCTTTATCTATCATTGTCAAATTTTGCCACCAAATTAGCATGTCTAACTTAACCAAGCTAATACCGAATACGATACCATACAACTCTAATTAACAATTGCTCAAGAGGATCAAGAAGGTTTCGATGTTACTCATAATAATTATAGCAATGGATTTGGTTTCGATCGGCTATGGGGTTAATTAGGGCAACAATGGACTGATTAAGTACTTGAGTGAGTTAATTTCAAAAATTCACTCTCAAACTAGTTAAAAATGAAAGTCGGCTGACTGATTTGCCATAATAGACCCAAAGTTGAGTTGCCTTTTACGTAATCGATCCTCGACAAAATTGGTCGTGGCCCTTGCTGGATTTATTTGTCAGCTTATAGTCGCCACAGCCACTATCCAAAAATCCATACATCTCAATCTTAATTTGGTGGAGCCGATAATAAGAAAAAGAAAAGAACAATTCGCATAGATTCTGGTCCCTTTCAATACCCACGCCCGTTATAAATCCGTTCATTAAGTGTAGTTATTATGTTGCTTCATTACATTGTAATCACAAAGGCCCTCTCCAAAACTCTACTAGTCAAGCACCTTTCATAACTCAAGCTGCTCATTTTCGGCTAATTAAGTTAGTCGACTAAGTCTCTAGCTAAATGGCAGCCAACTCGTCCATGAATGCAGTTCGAGCCTCGACGGTGTTGGTGATTGTGTTAATCGTGTTGTTTGCGGATGTGAATCATTCAGAAGCATTAAGATACAAAGAGGTTAGTATGCGTAACAAAAGGATCGTTAGCACATTGCTTTTGAAGGAATTAGAGTATCATGGGGTTAGGGTCAAGCGCATTAGTAGAAGGATGGCGGTGACGGAGTCGGCGGCGGATAGGGTTTCGCCCGGAGGACCGGATCCGGAGCACCATTGATCAACGATCGGACCTAGAAGAGACAATGTTGCCGGCTCAATGTGGGGTTTGTTGGATGGCAAAATATAGTAGCCCTAGCTTTCAATGTCTTTCCTCCATTGTTAAATTATTATATTGAGTCAAATTTTGATCCATGCTTGGATACTGCTGTGGATTTGACCAAGCCACTGTAATTGTTGGCTAAGCATGTTAGTCTCGCCACTTATTATTTAGTAAAATCTAAGAAATTGCTTTTGTTTACAACACGAATTTATTTTAATTGATTTATCCATATTGATCCACCTAATTAGCATTGGGCCCAGCCCGTTGGCCGGCATCATATAAAATTATGAAGAATAGAGGAAGGATTAAGTTAATTTCTATATTAGTGCCCGATCCGTTAGGCAAATTATTGATAATTTCAATATAATTTATCTATGAATTGCATCCTAGGTTTATTTAACTATCCAAGATGACATAAAAGCTGATATATGTGGTGAGTTGGGTAAAAGACACGAAAAAATTAAACTTGGAATGCAGGACATATAATCATATATCATTCCAAGTATGTTAATAACCCATCATGAATGTAACCATCAAGACCTATATATATGTATACTAGCTGGCGATGCCGCACCTTGTCGCGAGGCGGAGATGGTCTAAGGGCATGTATTATATGACCCGTTATGGTGTTTTGCTAGTATTATTAGCCTAAAATTAATTTTTTGTTAGCAGTTTTGTTAGTAACATTGACTTGACAATATGATACTGACCGAGAAGAGATATATGGCTATCAACATCTAATTTAATTTTTTTGAAAATTTTGGCTAATAAATGATATTTACCTAAACCCGAGTAGACCCATTGATTATGAGTAGGGTATGGGTAACGTATATATAGGTTTGGAAGTTTGTAGATGGGTTTGGGTAGCGAATGGATATTTACTTCCATAATCTAAATGTGTATGAGTTGGGTATGGATACTTATTTATTCGAGGGTGTTTCAATTATTAATTCTCTAGACGGTTGCTGAGTCATGTATGGACCCGTTCATACTTGTGATTAGAATACATAAAAATAGTATACTAATTAGGGTTAGACGAAGAAGACAAAGAAAGAAATAAAGAAAGGATTATGGAATGCGAGTGAAAAATGAAACGAAAAGGAAGTAGATGATAGAAAGGTTTCGACCAATTCTTTTAGTTGGCCGTCAATACAACAGTCAACCCTTTTCACCGTAGCAATTTATTGCCACTTGCTGATGTAGATCTGACATATTTTGTTACATGTAGCTAGTAGAAGTTTGTTTATTACCCCATAAATGTACTAAATGAGTTTATTAATTCGCTCTTGCAATATTTTAGAGTCGTCCCTCTTTTATAATTTATTTAATGTTTCACGTAATGAGCAAATATAAAATGGTCGAATCTTCTCCTACAGTTGAGTGATACAACATCTTGTATGGTACAAACTAAATTTATACTTTTATGTTATGGTGGATTGGATTCATGGATTGGTTCTAAAGATTAGTGGATTGGATTCATTATTCAAGTGAAATCTAAACATTGGACCAATATGTAAATTTAAAAAAATTATAGGTACAAAAATCTCATTAAATTTAGATACCAAAACATAATTGTTCAATGATTTTACATTAAAATTAAATTTGGGATATCATAGATTGGTGATAGGGCAAGAGCGTATGGCTTCAATTCCTATCTTGTAGTAAAACTGGAAATCCGGGTATCGTCTCTCAGGGACTGGTACAACCTTCTATTCTATCGATTTTATAGAGCAAACTATAGGTGAAAAGGTTTTAGTGATGAAACTACTATCTAATAATTAAACAAAATAAGCAACTAAAATTGTCGGGTTCAAATCAATGGGAGAAACACCGGGACTCGCTACCTATCATATCCAAATTGATTCACATATTCCAATCAGTTTAATCCATATCTCTACAGCCAGGATATCACTACTATGCTAGCTATCCCTGTCGGGAATTACTACGTACTAAACAATTAAATCAAATCCTACTGTCGTAGCTCAATGACTTAATTATTTAGCCTGAAGATCGATATCCTATTTAAGACCGCATGGCACCTTATTTAATCCACTGTCGCTTCGATAAGTTACTATGTAACATAAAATAGGTTCAGTTATTATGGTTTCACTGTCGCTAATAACCTAATTAACTACGATTCATTGTATTGGTGGCCAGTCAACACAAAGCATTAAGCAATTTCATGCAATAGAGATTGGAAGAAGAGAAATATGAATCAATCCATCAATTCTAGAAATAGCTACATCCTATGGTGTTTCCCCCAGAAATTGGTGTTTAGTTCATGACGAAAATAAAACACACAATCATGTTCATAATCATCATTGTATGACTCAAGGGAAGAAATACTTATTTTGAATTATGCCCGGCGATCAGCTGTTCTCTCGTCCCGTCGCTGCTCTGCTGCTCATTCCAATTATTCCCTCTCGTCCCTCGCAATTAATTCTGCGCTTCGCGCTGCTGCTTCTCCTCTTCGTTTCGCGTTGCTGCCCGCCCTTCAATTCTTCGCCCCCAAAGAATTCGATCCCCAGCTTCTCCAATTATCCCCAGTCCGTTGTTCCGTCTCAATTATCACGTCCCTTTTGCTTAAACCCCCTGTCCAATTAATTCCCTCCTCTCCTTCCATGTCCCAGACTAGAGGACAACAAAGATAGGTTTTTGTGGTCAGATGGATTCACCGGGAAATTTTTCCGGGCCTACTGGGATATCATTGGAGACACGGTTATTGAGGCTGTGCGCTCGTTCTTTTTGAATGGGCGCATGTTACGAAGTTTCAATCATACATGGCTTACGCTGATTCCCAAAGTTGATGTGGTGGAGGATATTCGCCAGTTGCGGCCGATCAGCCTTTGTCAGTTCGTGTATAAAGTAATTACGAAAATCATGACTGACAGGCTGGCGATTCATCTCCCGCACATCGTTTCCCCGGGCCAGAACACATTCATTCGGGAACGGAAAATTGTGGATAATGTGCTAATTGGGCATGAATTGATGCACTACCTAAAGATTAAAACGAAAGGTAAGAAAGGCTATATGGCTCTAAAGGTTGACATGGAAAAGCCTATGATAGGGTTGAATGGCCTTTCTTACTAGCAGTTTTGGCTCGACTAGGTTTTAATGAGGTTTGGATAAGTTGGATTCATGAGTGTTTATCCTCGGCAACATTCTCGGTAATGATGAATGGCAAACCCTCGGGGTATTTCCAGTCTACACGTGGGTTAAGACAGGGTGATCCGCTGTCTCCGTTACTGTTTGTCATATGTACTGAGGGTTTCGCGGCTCTTTTGCGGAGGGCGGTGATGAATGGTCACTTAGCCGGCGTACGGGTTAGCCCACGAGCTCCCCGAATTCACCATTTGTTCTTTGCGGATGACTCCTATCTGTTCTTGCGAGGATCGATGGGGGAATGTGAGTACTTAAAAGATTTGCTCCAGGAGTACGAGATTTTAAGTGGCCAAAGGGTGAACCTAGCGAAGTCAGCTGTCTGCTTTAGCCGGAATTTAGAGGAACAGCAATGTGCGGACATGGCGCAGTGTCTAGGAGTGGGGGTTGTTGGGTTTCAGGACAAATATCTTGGCCGGCCTACTCTGATTTCTCGATCTAAGTCCGATACTTTTCGGTACTTGGAGGAAAAACTGCTCCATAAATTATAAGGGTGGAAACAACGACATCTCTCCTTGGCGGCAAAGGAAACTCTCCTGAAATCCGTGGCTTCGGCTTTACCAATTCATGTGATGTCATGCTTCAAGCTCCCGCTTTCACTATGTCGAACGTTGGATAAACATTTGGCTCGGTTTTGGTGGGGAGCTCAGGAAGGGCAAACTCGAATTCATTGGATGTCATGGAGGAATTTATGCCGAAGCAAACATGATGGTGGCCTTGGGTTTCGCCGTTTCGAGCAATTTAATCAGGCTTTGCTGGCCAAGGTGGGATGGCGGATTTTGGAGGACCCAGACTCGCTACTAGCACAGATGTATAAGGGAAAGTATTTCCCGCATGGCACTTTGCTCTCCGCTCGAAAGGGGTCTAGGCCGTCGTGGGGTTGGCAAGGTGTCCTTTATGGGTGTGACTTGCTGCACCAAGGATTGTGGTGGCAAGTTGGGTTTGGAGAAGCGATTCCTATGATGGGGGTGAATTGGATGCCTGGCATGCAGTGGGACCAGGTGCAGGTTAAGCCTACGGCGCATCTGACGGGGGCTGAGACTGTCTCGGGTCTAAGGGCATCGGAGAATGGGGAGTGGTGCCTGGAGTGCTTGCAAAACTGTTTCCCTCCTAAGGAGATCGGTGCAATTCTAGCAATTCCGCTTCCTACGGTACCCATGGAGGATAAGATGATTTGGCAGGAGGATGCCTCGGGTAGGTACACTGTCAAGTCAGGATATCACTTGGCGATTCGGTGTAGTCGGGCTAGAGATAGCTGGAAATCAGAGGTCAGTTGGATGGATCGGAAACTATGGATGGAGATTTGGGGGTACCCTATTCAGCCTAAGCTTCGGTTCTTCCTCTGGCAGGTTTTCAGCCGTATCTCGCCAACCACTGAGAAATTGATATCCAAAGAGGTGGAGGTCCTGCCGAGGTGCCCCGTATGCTGGGCGGAAATGGAAACGGTAGAGCATTTGCTGTTATTCTGTCCGGTAGCCGTAACCTTATGGGATGCTGCGGGTTTGCGACAGTCCTTGTATTTACATCCGACATCTCACATTGGCATCTTTCTTCGGCGATTATTCTCAGCAAATGGGACACCGGATATGGTAGTACGAGTCGTGGCTCTTCTCTGGCGGATTTGGAAGGCACGAAACTGGGTAGTGTTTGAGGGTAAGCAAGTGCTCATCTCTGTGCTTACGGCCCAGTTTCATGCACAAGTTACAGAGTGGATGGCGACTCTAGGGCCGCCACCTATCCCTTTACGGGATGTTGGTGGATCGTCGACGCATATGCAGGGTATTTCGCAGTTGCCACCA